AGGGAAAATTAATTCTCCCACTTAGCTACAGTTTTAACCAACTGCCTCTTTCTAATTTTCCACCAAGTGAGAACAATGCCATAGCCCCTAATCTTTTTCAAACACTTATTGAGTACAAACCAGGCATGCTTGGATGCACAAATGAATGTAAGTTTGGTCCTTTCTTCCATGGAATGCCCAGTGTGGATACAATCACACAAAGGATTATAGAACTTGGGTGTGAGAGAGCTGGTGAGGAGAGAAGGGCTCTCTTGTACAATTTTGGAGCAGGAGACTGTTCTTGAAACTTTCTATGGCTGCTTTGTTGAGAACTTCAGAAAAGATAGTGTATAAGGAAACACTCAAATATTTCTGGATCCCTCCAGGCCCCAGATCTTTTCCAGAATGATTTGCTACAATATAGTGATGACATGGGAGCTCTAGGCCAGGAATTTACCTTTGTTAGCTTTCAGAAGAGCTTGTTGGTTGACACTTTGGTTAGAGAAATGAGTTTCTGTAATGCTTACATGTTTACAACCAGGTGCTCTCCTGCATATTAATACTCATGTCAGCCCCCTTCTGAAGTTCCCCACAGTTTATAGATGAGTAAAGTAGAGAAGTTTAGAGAGGATTGAGTGACTTCAGTGAGGTCATGCAGCTAGGAAGGAACAGACCTGTGATGTGAGCCAGGTCTTCTAACTGCAGGCTGGGCCCTGTCCCCTCTTCTGCCTGGGGCAGGATAAATGATGGTTACATTAACCCAAATGGGAGGCTCAGTGCTTTGAGTTTGTAGTGTTTAACATAAATGTGTTGATTCACTGGTCTTTTTGATGAAAATGTTCTTTTTCTTTTTTTTTTTTTTGGTCTACTTTTTATCTAAATCAAAACAGGCATCAAAAGGAAATCTATTCTATGGTTTCAACTCCAGAAAAATGTTCACAACCTCAATCTGATGGTGAATCAACGCAAACCTCCTCTCTTACTATGTTGAAAGTACCATGGGGCCTTTCAAATCAAAAGATTCCGAAAAAGAAAGTCCTCCATGCAGGTATCAGTGAACAAAATAGCTTGACTGCTTACTGGTTTTCCTTCAATACGAGTAGAGTAAAACTACACCCACATAGTATTTTCTTAAAAGCCCTCAACTTATTGGATTTTTAATGGAAAGTTTTACTAAGATAACTGAGTATTTACTCGATCCCATACACTTACCCTTTACCCCATTTATCTCAATACTAACATCTTACAAAATAACAGTACAACATTAGAACCAGGTTTTTGACATTGATACATGTTTTATTCAGTGCATCAGTTTTACGTGTGTGTGTGTGTGTGTGTGTGTGTGTGTGAAAGAGAGAGGGAGTCTGTCTATATTTAGGTCTATACAGTTATATCACATGTGTACGTTTGTGTTTTCACCACCAAAGTCAAGGTACAGAAAAGTTTCATCACCTCATGGGTCTTTCATATTGTACTATTATAACCGCATCACATGCCTTGTACACCTTCCCCTAACCCTTAGCAACGTCTAGGTTCCCTGTTTCTAAAATGTAGTAATTTCAAAGTTATATATTGGGTTGTTGGAAAAGTCATGTTTTTTTATGTTTTTCTATGAAAAAATATGTCATGACTTTTCCAATGACCCAATAAATGAAGTCATATAGTATGTAACCTTTTGAGACTGGCTTTTTTCACTTAGCATAATTTCATGGAGATTTTAGAATGCATTTTAGTTTATGATCAGATATGTTTAATTTTCTGGGATTCTTTTTAGGATTTGGATTAAAACTACAGATCAATTTGAGGAAAACTAGTCCAATCCATGCATATTATATGCTTTACATTTATTTAGGTCTTACCTGATGCTTTATAGCAGTATTTTGCAATTTTCAACATGCAGACCCTTTGAATGTTTTGTTAAGTGTATGCCTAATTATTTCATTTTATTTGGAGCAACTATAAATAATTTTAATATAGGATTTTGTATGTTCATTGTTAGTATCTTAAAATTAATTTAGTGTATTGATCCTGTAACTGGTGACTTTGCTTAATTCACTTAATAAGAGTTCTATTTTTGGGGACCAGAAGTTGGCATAATGGCTATGTCACTGGACTCCCATGTAGTCGACTGCGATTTGAGTCCCAGAACTGGTGGCTTAAACTCACACTGGCACATGTGTGTGCGTGCCCAAGATCCTGAGAGAAGAATGGAGGAGAAGGGATTGTGGCATAGCCATCCCCCCTGGGGGGTGACTTCTTGCTTTCTGTCTGTCTTTCTGGCAAGCACACACATCCTCTAGCAAAAACCTCTCCAAAAAAAAAAAAGAGTTCTATTTTTGATAGATTCTTTGCCATTTTCACACATACTGTATGCTATCTACAAATGGAAGGACAGTTTTATTTTTTCCTTTCTAATCATTCTGGCTTTATTTGTTCTTGCCTTGTTACAGTGGCTAGACCTTTTAGTACTATGTTGGATATGGATGCTGACAGTAGACATACTTGCCTTTTTCTAAGTCTTAGGGGGAAAAAAAACACTTTTTATTTCTTAATTTGCTTTAGGGCAAATTACAGAAAGAAACAGAGAGAGGGAGAATTCACTCCCCAGGGTGCCATGCCACAGTCCTCTCTCCATTCTCCTCTCAGAATTTTGGGCATGCCCCCACATACACACCCAGCATGTTTTTCAAGCTGCCAGGTCCAGGATTCAAACTGCACAGTCAACCATGTGAAATACAGCCATCTTCACTACCACACCACCAGCTGACCCAAGAAAACAGTGTTTTGCTCTTATTTATTATTTTTTAAGTTGCCAGAGGGCATATGTGCTCACCAGAGGAGACAAAGAACTAGAGAGACAGAGAGAGAGAGAGAGAAGAGGAGAGGAGAGGAGAGGAGAGGAGAGAGAGAGAGAGAGAGCAACCCCTGATGGGACATGGTCATGTCACAACCCCTTCTCCTCTATTTCTCCACTCTGTTTGAATTATAGATATGCACACACGTTTGCCCAGTGTGTCACTCAAACCACTGGGGCTAGGACTTGAACCACAATTGGTCATGTGGGATCTGACTCCCTTAACCACAGGGCACAAGGCTGGCATAGTCTTTCATTTTTAAGTTTGATTGTAGCTATAGGTTTTTGCACATATTCTTTATCAACCTAAGGATGCTATCCATATTCCTAGCTTTCTGAACGTCTTTATCATGAATGGGTGCTGGATGTTGCCAAATGCTTTTTCTGCATCAATTGATATTTCATTTTTCTTCTTTGGTTTACTGGTATGGTAGATTACATTGACTGATTTTCAAATGTTGAAGCAGCCTTATATATCATGGAACATTTCCTTTTAGGTATGAGGGTATAAGTCTATTAATGCATTGCTTGATTCAGTTTGCCTATATTTTATGGAGGATTTTTATATCAGAGTTTATAAAAAGCTATTGGTTTGTAGTTTTCTTTCTTTTTCTGTCTTCCAGTCAGTTGTCAAGGTAATAGTGTCCATATCAAATGAGTTGTAAAGTTATCACTTCTCCTCTATTTCTGGAAGAAATTGTAATTGTAATTCTTTTATTTTTTTTTTTGACAGAGATTTTTGCTATAGGGTGCATGCACTCACTGGAGAGACAGAGAGACAGAATGTGAGAAGTCATCCCCCAGGCGGGGGGGGGATGGCCACACCATATCCTCCATTCTCTTCTTGGAGGCACATATGCTCACTTACCTAGTGTGTTTCAAGCCACCAGGTCCAGGACTGGAACTCCAGTCGACCACAGTGAGAGTCCAGTGCCTTAACCACTATGCCACCTGCTGGCCCCTGATGTAATTCTTAAGTGTTTGGTAAAATTATCATGGATTCATTTGGATCTGGAGATTTTTCAGGAGCTTTTTCAGTATGGATGAATTCAGATAAAGGGAGCCAGACATTATCATAGCACTTAATTTGTAGCAGAACTATTCTGTAAGGATTGGGAAGCTGAAGTTGCATTCTTTTTTTAAGGATCCACTGAAATATTTGTATCTAATGAAGTATCTCCTTCTATTAAGAATCCCTTTAATACCTCTTCCTGTGATACCAACAGAGTCGACCAAAACCAGCCTGCTCAGAAGCCAGATGTCCACCCTCAAGAGCTCAGCTTGCAGTGAAAGGAAGGAGAGCCCCTCTAATTCCAGCAGCTGGATCATTGCTCCAAGTGACAAAGGCAAGCCAGAAGAGGGTCTCTATCCCAGGAAGCCCCTGTCACCTTCCTTTGCCCAGTGTATTTATTCTTGGAAGAGCTGGATATACATGGATGTGGGGGAAACATAAATTTCAAATGGACCCCAAATATCTGCCTACACAAAGGAATCCTTTCTTAGTGAACTGGATTTTCTTTCTTTCTTCCTTCCTTCTTTTCTTTCTTTCTTTTCTTAAGAATTATTTCATTTAACTTTATTTATTTATTTAATTTGACCAGAGAAGGACAGAGTGAGAGAGAGAGAGGGAAAGTGAGAAAGCAAACTGCCATGTCTGAGACTCGAACCACAGTCAGCCATGTGGGAGCCCAGTGCCCTCGACTACCACGCCTGCTGGCCAGGTGAACTGGATTTTCTTAAGGCTAGACCTACACTTATCGTGCTAAATTGTTTAATACACACATGACTTAGATAACTATGGAGCTAGTGGTAATACCTGCTTCCACTCTGTGGTTCACATTTGAAACTCTAGTACCTTATAGTTAGTTTATTCTTTTCCCTTCATTCATTGGTGGCACTATCTGAAAAGTCCCTTTGTGGTCCAGATTGTCAGCCTTTAGGGGCTAAATGTGAGGAAAGCATGACTTGTCCACTCAATATTTATTACTGTCTATAAAGTTATTAATCTTAAAATAATACTTTGCCAGTTAAATGCAGAATTTTAATTTCATAGCTTAACAATGAAGGGTCATATGCTGAAGTTGATACGTATATCTAGTATTTTAGTTTAAGCTCATCCATGTACATAGCTGTAATCAATGACAAGGAATGGCCTGACAAATGTTAAGGGAACTTTGTAGTTTTTATGGCTATTAAAACTGTACCTTGCTGGACCAGCAGATGGTATAATGGTTACATTACTGGACTCCCATGTAGTAGACCGTGGTTCGAGTATCAAACATGGCAGCTTGAAACTCAGGTTGGGCACATGTGCATGCATGCCCCAGATCCTGAGAGGAGACTGGAGGAGAGGGGATTGCACTGTGGCCATCCTCCCTGGGTGGTGATTTCTCACTTTCTATCTCTGTCTCTTCAGCGACCACATGTGCCTTATAGCAAAAAAAAAAAAAAAAAAAAAAAAAAAAAAAACTCTCTTAAAAAAAATAAAACCTACCTTGCACACTGACGTCATCATACATACAGGCCAAAATCAGAGTTTTTATATTTGCATTTATTCTTCATTTAACTTTTAAAACACTACTTCAGGTGAATGTTAAAAACAATAGCAAGTAGTGAGCATATTATGATTACTGTCCTTCATTCAGTCACTACAGCATATAAAATGCCAGCAGCAAGTGTCATTTACTGGTCTCTTTGAGAGATTTGACTCTGAACACCACCTCAGGACATGATGTTCATCGTCCTTAAGTTTACGTTACATTCAATGATGAGACGACCCTTTCCATATGGTCTACGATAAATTGACATGCCTTCATTTAACACACACTTGATATCTCCATGCTTGACAATCTGACCTGGATGAGAGGTAATGATTGGTTCAGTTGTCAAGAGTGGAACTTGGCTTTTGGAAACCACATAAAAGAAAGAAAGAAACTTTAAAAAAGCCAACTGTAAGTCCATACACATGAAAAGTTCTCCTCGTTGAATGAAAACAGCATGGTCTTTCTGATCTAGTACAATGATATTATCTCCTGACTTCAGTCCTGGTTCTTGATAAAGAACATAATACATCCCAAACACACATACACACAATCTCCTACATGGTGGGAGGCACCTGAGTGACAAGTGTTCACCTGTTACCCAGGCGTAGCTTAGTCAAATCCTATTTTCTTCAGTCCGTTAACCTGTCATATTTTCTAAGTCTGCTACATGCACAATCCTTAAAGGGCTTATCATGTGATGCTTAGGATATGATTTTTTAAAATTTATTTATTTCTTCTATGAGAGAGGAAGACAGAGAGGGAAATTCCCAACAGGGTCTTCATGCCAAAGTGCACCCCAGGTCTCTGCGGCCACAGGTCACAGCCACACATGCCCCCAGCATACGCAGACCTTGGGATGAGACCTCAGCATCATGGACCATGGCCTTACTGCCGAGCTGATGCACTGGCCAGGACATGATTTCTCAGGCATTTCACTAACTCACACCCAAACACCCCTCCTTTTTGGTACTGCTCATTCAGTGAGGTGAAATTCCTTTCTATTTATAAACCTAAGTTTACATGAGGATATACATTTTAAACCCCAAATATTAGTTTGAAAATAATGTACAAACAAACAGAACCTAACATGGTTTTATCGTTTTTATTTTTCTTCTCCATCTCTTTTTTTTTACATTTAATTACTGTACATCTTTACAGCACACAAAATGAATTTTGCCACCTTGAATACACTGCATATTGGTCCAGTCAAAGATATTATCATACACATTATTATCAGCAGACAATTTTCCATTTCTGTGTCCGTTAAATGTCTTGCTTTCTTTTCCCCCTTGATTTCTTCCCTCCCTCCCCACTGCCCACTCTTCTCCTGCACTGTCTTTAGTTTGTTATTGTTGTTATTTTTTTAATTTCAAGAAAAGATGTTTTAGCTTTAATGAATCAAAATTTTTTAAAAATTGAGAAAAATTGCTTAAGACTTACAGCTAGGAAACAGGTTAGAATTCTGTCCAAACAGTAGGTAGATACTAAAAACTCAAAAAACAAATTTGAACAGAGCTAAAATCTAGTCAAATGTCATTAATTCTATTTCACCAGTTCATTCTCAAGGAAGCCAAGTTTATGACCAAAAGTGAGTAATTAATCTCTCTTCTGCTGAGTCTGCACTGTTACTGTGGTCTGATCTTTTCATTTAAATCCTGGAAGTTCAGAAATATGATCTCAAAGTTATCAAAAACCTATATTCAAGAGTACTTATCAAAGTCTTTTTCATTAATTTTCTTAAAGAGAGATTTTTTTATTTATAGCCTATTACAAAATGTTTTAGAAGCAGCATCAGAATAAAGCAATTAACTATGGACAACAAAACTTAAAATAGCCATGGTTCGAGATCTTCTTTTACCATAACCCAAAATTGACAGATTTGGTAATTTCTGTGACAAAATACATTAGAACTACTTAGCATTACAAGTATGACTAATAACACCAATACATAACTGATATTTAAGACTCTCATACAATTTTGGAACACCCATTGACACAAATTTGTATACACAGAGCTAAACACCATTTCATATATGTCAGCATTTCCTATGTAATTTCAGCACACTAGAAAGTCTAGTCTTTCCTTTTTTAAAAAATTTTTAAAGATTTATTTATTTATTTATTTATTTATTTATTCATTTATTATCATTATAATCTTGTTTATATTATAGTCAATCATGTATAACTTTACAGTGTATTACCATGTATATCAGTCAATACGGAGACATTAAAATCCCCATTTCATCATCCAATAGCTTTTCATTATTTTTACCAATCATTATTATTATTATCCCAATTATTTTTTAAAGAATCACCATTTCTCATTTTCTTTATAAAAATACTTTACCCAACATAAAATACTTCTCAGACTAATCCGATTTAGAATTCTTTCTTTCTTTCCTTATTTTAATTTGACCAGAGAGAAGGATTTGACCAGGGGAGAGAGAGAGAGAAAGAGAAAAGGAAAGGGAGAAAGCAAGCCTCCAGGTCTGGCACTCAAGCCGTGGTCAGCCGTGTGGGAGTCCAACGCCCTCAGCCACCATGCCACCTGCCAGCCCCTCTTTTATTATTATTTTTTAATTGCGGCAGTACTCAGAACTTCTATTTTTTCTTTTTAGAAGTGAAAAGTAAATATATTTTAAAAAGAAAAGTAACAGATTTAACTTGAAACTTGATTTTTCTAAAAGTAATTCCAAAGTATTTCTTTTCTTCAACATGCAAAGAATTTAACATTGGCAAAAATACATTTATTTTTTCATTTGATTTACAATAATTTTTGTAGTGTATAAAAGCAGCATAATTGGTGATAGAATCTTTAATATTAAGAAGTCAAATTTAGATTCCCCAAGAAAAGTGAATACATGACTAGTCATTTGCACCAAAAATACTGAAAAAAATGTCTATCTAACATGGAGGTTTCATTCATTTATGTTGGATTCTCTTGGTTGTTTTTTATTCTCATCTGTATGTCAGTCTCTCTTTAGTTTTCCTGGTATTGCACTCCCTTTGATACTTCTTGAAGAACTGGTCTGATGTTGGTAAATTCTTTCAGGTTTTGTTTATCTGAGAATGTTTTTATCTTTTCTCCCCATTTGAATGATAATTTTGGCAGGGATAGTATTCTTGGCTGGAACTGTTTTTCACTTAACACTTTGAGTATATTTTTCCATTCTTTCCTTGCTTGCATTGTTTCTGCTGAGAGGTCTGATGTTAGCCTAATGGTATAACCTTCGTGAGTAACTTCGCACTTCTCTCTTGCCATTTTCTTTATCTGTGATTTTGGCCAATCTGGCTGGGATGTACCATGGAGTGGATCTTCTTGAGTTAAATCTATTTGAACTTTGTATTTCTTGAGTCTGGATGTTTGAATGTTTCTCTAGGTTGGAAAAGTTTTCTTTCAGGATTTCATGGAACAGATTATCAATGCCCTTATTAGATTCTTTAATGGTATCTAGTATTTCCTGTATATTATTTTCATTTTGGGGGGTTATTTTTTCTTTTTATTTTTGGTGTTCCCCCCCTCCCCCCGGGTCAGAGGTTTTGTCTTCTACATCTGAAATTCACTCTTCTGCATAATCTAATTTGCTTTTAATACTTTCAAGGGAGGTCTTGATCTCCTGCATTACAGACTTAAATTCCAGAAGTTCTGTTTGATTCTTATCTATATTGTCTATCTCCTCCTTCAAGTCATGAAAGGACTTCCTAATCTCCTGACATTTGATTGCTTTTTTTCTCTTCCATCTCATAGAGTTTTGTTGCCATAAATATTCTGAATTCCTTTTTTTAATTTCACTAATTTCCTCTGATTTTTCTATATTGGAGATAAATTATTGCATTCCCTTGTTGGAGAGATATCACTTAGTTTTCCCTTGTTGGAGATATATCATTTAGTTTTCTCATACTAGAGGCTCTTCTCCGATGTTTGGTCATTTGATGATGTATTCACTTTTGGCTAATTTGTTGGAGGTTTCTGCAACTTTGAGCTTGTGTATTTCCCTTTAATGTGAGATACTTCTGTGCCAATTTCTCTCTTCTACTGTGTTTTGCAGTGCAATACCCACAGGAGGAATTCTGAGGTCAGATTTATGAAGAGTAATATCTCCCTTTTGCCACTGGTTTAGTGGGGGTTGAGGATTTCTCTGAGCCTAGCAAAATTCAGAGGTTTGGCTACTGTGCACCTAGACCTCTCTATACACTCACTGGGTGGAAGCTGAGCATCAACATGACAAAGTAAGGCAGAAGAATAAGAGAATACAAAATGAAGAAAGGAAAACAAAGAAAAGAAAGAGAAAACAAAAGACAAAAAATAAAAACCATGTGCCACATAAGCGCGGTATACAAAACGAGCAGAGCACCTCAGATGTAGATGTCTCCCGTCCTTACTAGCTATGGGCCAGGGAGGTAAGGTTGGAAGAGGAGGGCTGCAACTCCAGGCTGTTCACCCTCACATGTGTCCCTGAACATTAAAACGTTTTCTGATTTTTCACATAGATATAAGGAATCACAAACAAACTTCAGAAACTAAAATATTGCTCAAAGTTCTGTATAATTTTTGGAGAGTCTAATTTGGTCAACCTTGAACTATAATTGATTAATAGCATTCTTACCAAACATTGAAAACAATGTGTTATCTGAAGAAAGAGTGACTTGTCTCATTCTTTTATGGTGAGAGGTCTCAATGGATATTGGTGAGGGAGATGAGCAACACAATGATAGTACCTTGGTCTTTAGTGTAAGTTGCAAATGGGCATTTCCTGAGCACCCACTCTGACAGATCCAGATATATTCTCTGAAATATGGTCCATTCGTTAGCTCTCAGTTTAAGTTATAACTAAAGTGAGACAAAGTGATTCTTTTGAGTTTTGATATAAACTCTGTATATAAGAAAAATAAGTAACTGACATTTCCCTTTTCACAGGAATGAGCATTCTACTGACAAATGGGTATCTGGAAAGTAAATTATCAGAAAGATCAACTCGAGAAGGAAGCCAAGTTTATGACCATGAGTGAGTGCATTAATTTTACAAGGTTGGTTTTATCATGTTTGTGACCTATCAAGTTGTGAGTTTTTAAACACCACAGTCTTATGTTCTTAGTTCTTCAGATGTATCTTCAGAAGACTGGCTCAAGGTCCATGGCTTAGTTGCCAAGAAACTCACCCTCATGGATGCCTTGTCAGTGACCGCAGTGCCCCACAACTCAACCTATGTCCCTATTCTGGACAAACATGTTGTTTCCAAGGTCTTTGATGAGGTAAGAGATCTAGATGTCCTTGCTGGAGGAATGTTTCATCTTCTGCTCAAATTAAAAGTCTACTTCAATTTCTTATACCATCATAACAGAAATGTATTTCAGCCTTAGGAAAAAAAATATTTGTAAAGACAGTGAAAGAAAAGGAAAGAGGCTCTTAAGAATTCTTTTTTTAAACTGAGAAGAAACTGGCCATTGTTGGGTTGGCAATTTGTGGCTTGTTGCTGATGGAGGGAGTACGGAGCTGTAGAAATGTTTGAAAACTCTAGGTCAGAGTCGTGAGTGAACATCATTATCAAAATACAGGGAGAACTTGTGAGAGATGATGTACCCCCTTTGCTTACCTTCTCTTCATAAATTGAATGGCATCTTTTCCATTATAAAATCCTCCAAAGAAAAATGTCAGAGACAGATGGAGAGAAAGAAAGAAATAGAACAAAAGAACCATGAGAGAGGGATAATCATGTCTTGAGAGGAGGAAAAAGCTTCTAGTACGAGTGTGTGGTAGAAAGGCCAAGGATTTGGCAACAAGGAGGTCCTTGACTTTAGCAAGAACAGTTCAGTGAAGCAGCCAAATGGTAGTAGGGTGAGAAACACAAAAGAGATAAGAACATAAAGATTAGACCCTAGTGTTTTTTGGCAAATGTAACAGCAACAAATGGTTTAGTAACATATTAGGATTTCTAGTCACTATGGAAGCAATATCCTTAAAAATCCCTTACGTGGGGCTAGACAGTGACATAGTGATAAAATACTGTCAGGCAATCCTACAGGGGAAGGTTTCTGAGTCAGTGCAGAGATCCCCTGAGTACACCATGCTTTCCCTTTATTCAGGGCTGCCTGAAGGCTGGTGTCAGAGCCCTGTTGGGAGTTCTCTCTTTCTCTTGTTCATGGAAAAAATAAATAAGCTGGGGGAGGGATCCTTTTTCATACTGAAATATTTACAGAGGACATGAAAAGATGTTTGAGATTAATTTCAACAAAATCTGGATAGTGGGAGTATTTCAGGAGGGGAGGAATAAATGAAATAGATTGGCCACATGCTAATAATCATTAAATTTGGATACTAAGAATACAGGGAAAGGGAAGACTCATTCTACTATTTTTCCTGTATTTTATGTATTTGATATTTTCTATAATAAAAAGTTGAAAAAAACAGGAGACAAGAAAAAAAGAAAAGAAAAAAATGTATCTAACTCGCCTTGAAAGAGCTAAGATTAGATGTATTTGGAAGTAGTGAGTGAATTGGTTTTTTGTTTGTTTGTTTGCTTGCTTGCTTGCTTGCTTGCTTGCTTTGGAAAGGTTTTTGCTATAGGGTAGGTATGCTCACCAGAAAGACAGAGAGAGATAGACAGAAAGTGAGAAATCACCCCCCCAGGGGGGATGGCCATGCTGTAATCCCTTCTCCTCCATTCTCCTCTCAGGGTCTTGGGCACACATGCACATACGCCCGACATGAGTTTTAAGCCACCAGGCCCAGGACTCGAACTGTGGTCGACTACATGAGTCCAGCGACATAGACATTACACCAAATGCTGGTCCCAGAATTGGTGAATTTTTTTATTAGTCACATTTTAAAAACTATAACCCATGGAGGTTGACATGGATCATGGCTTGACATGACTAGTGACCTTTATTCTGTAGGTCGTGTGTGCAATATGATATGGGCTGGTCCCTGGACACTTTGCCTCAAGCTGAGTCTTGCCGTCCTTGGCCATAGTCCTTGTGCTTAGCAGATTCTATTTACACCTCCAGTGAACTATCTTGATTAGTCAGGTAACAACTTATCACTTGAACTTATTTCATCCAGCAGTAGCAGGGACAAACTAAGCACTGATTTACTTCTTCTAGGGATTTTGGTGACTGCTTCTTCATGAATTTATTATATTAATATTCTTGAATTTTATTTGGAACAAAATATAGTTAGTGAACTCTCCCTGAAAATAATGGGCATATCATGCCTCCTTCTAAACTTCCCATAATTTGAAATACATTGAGAAGTAAACTTCTCAAAAAACAAATATGGTACGGTAGGGAAGCATAAACATGAAATCAACGGAAAAAACCATAACAGAAAGATTTATAGCCTGAGTATATAAAAATGTATTTTGCATACAAACATGTTAATAAAATGAAGGAGGACCAGTCTGTGGTGTGGTGGTTAAGGTGGATAAATCACAGATTGCAGACTGTGCAGTTCAAATCTCAGACCTAGCAGCTCGAAAAATATGCCAGATATCTGTGTATGTGTGTGTGTGTGTGTCCAGAATCCTGAAAGGGAATGAGAAAGGGATTGAAGCATGACCATCCCTCTCCTGGGGGCGGGGAGTGCTTTCTCACTTTCTCTTCCTCCCTCCCTCCCTCCCTCCCTCCGGTGAGTGCATGCACCCTATAGCAAATTAAAGAAGAAGAAAAAAATGAAGGCAGATCTCAGAAAAATATCTGTAATACACATGATGAACAAAGGGTCATGGGAGTAATATCTTCAATATGCATGTGTCTGTATAAATTAGTGTGTAAATGAGTGTGTGTATAAGTCAGTGTTCAGTACACATATACATGCGCACATGTATCCATACCATCAAGGAATAAGAAAATGGCAAATACTCCAATGGAAAAATCTCAAGGCAAAAGAAAAAACAAGACAAAACCACATACAGAAATACTTTACCGATAACCAAGTATGTGTACTTAGAAAAAAATGCCACTTGAAAATCAATTAGACTCCCCTTCCTCATAAAATTGGAAAATTTAAAACTATTAATAAACACTAATAGCATAGTAGTATTTATAGACATTCATATTTTAATATATAAATAAAGTATATAAATGTACATTTGTATATTTTTACTGCTAGTGGGAATATAAGTTACTGCAGCCTTGGTGCAATATATTCAGAAGCCTAAGAGCTTTCAGTGTTTACCCCAGTAAATCCACATTTTACAAGGAATCTATGTAAGAAGATAATCAGAGATACTGACAATTATATGCAGAGAATAATTGTTGATGGCATATATAAAACAAAGAGAAAATTGAAAACAACCTAAATAGTAGGTTCATTTATATAATGAAATGTTACACATTCATTGAATGTCACATTTCTGAAGAATAAGTGATGACATGGGCAAAATCCCCTAATATCATGCTAACTGAAAAAAGAAATCAAAGTACAAAGCTCTATATATAGTAAGTTAGCAATTTCCTTTCATATATGTATGATATAGACATGGCATTTCTCCATCATCACCTTTTTCTTTCACCAAAATGTTCAATTTAACCGGGTGATAAGATTGTTGGAAATACTTGTTTTCTATTTGCATATTTTTTAGTTTTTACTGTAGTTAGTTTTAACTCTGAACATATATTAATTATATACTGAAGGGATCAGCAGTTAGCGTAATGGCTATGTCGCTGGACTCCCATGTAGTCGACCACAGTTTGTGTCCCGGACCCAGTGGCTTAAAACTCACACTGGGCGCGTGTGCGTGTGTGCCCAAGATCCCGAGAGGAGAATGGAGGAGAAGGGATTGCGGCATGACCATCCTCCCTGGGGGGTGATTTCTCACTTTCTGTCTCTCTTTGTCTTTCTGGCAAGCACATGTACCCTACAGCAAAAACCTCTCCCAAGGAAAAAAAAAATTATATATTGAAAAAGAAAAGAGTTAAGAAAAAACAGACCTAATAGCAAATGATAAAATGATGTGAATATAAAAGGAATTTAATTTTTAATTAATTGCTTTATTTTTATTTTGTAAGTAATATGTGAACACATTCTCAGTATATGAGATTGAAACCATATAGAAGTCTTTAGAGGAAGATATGGAAATTTACCTTACAACTAATCCTATTGATGAAGGAAACACTGAATAATTTGGTGAATTTCCTTTCAATCCTTTTCCACACACACCTATGTGTATGTATGTATGTGTGTATGTATGTATGTGTGTATGTATATATATACATATATAGTAACATATATTTTTTACATACATAATTTTAATAAACATAAATAAGGCAATACTATGTAGATCTATTTTTTATCTTTTGGAAATTATGTTTTAGAGACCTTTGCGCATGAGTAGATAGGATCTGTCTCATTCTCATAGTTGAAAGTCATCTGCTTATTAATGGATATTGACATTGTGTCCTTCCTTCCCCTATTACAATCAACCCTGTAACGGATTTCCTTGTGTATAGATTTTGGGGTACATACAGAAGTCTTTGGGATAGATTCCTTCTGGTGGTATTGTGAACCCAAAGGGTATGTGCATTTAAAATTTTGCTAGATAAATCCAAATCATCCTCGAAATACATTTTACATTTCCACTAGTTTATGTCCCCACAGACAGCATATAATAATGCCTTTCTCCTAAGAGGAACTCTGTGTAACACTCGTTGATAATCATTGGTTATATGAGTGCACAAATGCTTTGAAAACTCTGAAAGTAATGTGCAGACATAAAATCCTATGTTCAATCTGTCTTTTCCTCACTGGCTCACATGCTGAAAAAGTAAAATTGATAACTCAGCCTGATATTCACAAATTTGCTCACCAGAATGTGTATGCAATGTGTTTATACTCTAGGGATAACAATATGCCCACTCTGCAGTTGTTACAGTATTCAAAGAAGTAATGCATATAATGGATGGTGCTTAGCAGGCACTCAATAAATGTCGGCTTTCATTATAAAAATATTTAACAAATATTACATGTCTCCTATGTGCACATGCTGGGCTCTAGAATGCAGTGCCAAACAGGACAGCCAGCATTCCTTCCCAGGCACAACTTACAATTTCATGGAGGGAA